TTACATAGATTTTCTATGGTATATGTCACCACCTTATGAGAAATTCCAAGTTTTTTCATTTGAAACACCTCTCCCATCAATAGACCATATTATAATAATTTGTAGAATGTGATTACTTTTGCACCATTGTTAAATTAATTATATATTATGTACAATATGTCCTTTGCAGGGACATGGATGAACTTGGAAACCATCATTCTCAGCAAACTGACACAAGAACAGAAAATCAAACGCTGCATGTTCTCACTCATAGGCAGGTGTTGAACAATGAGAACACATGGATACAGGGAAGGGAACATCACACACTGGGGTTCTTCGGGGGGGAGTAGGGGAGGAACTGCGGGGGTATGGAGTTGGGGAGGGAAAACATGGGGAGTAATGCCAGATATAGGTGATGGTGATGGAGGCAGCAAGCCACATTGCCATGTATGTACCTATGCAGCAATCCTGCATGTTCTTCACATGTACTCCAGAACCTAAAGTGCAATAATATATATAATAACATATATAATATATAATATAATATAATAGAATATATATTATATATTTTATTAATATATAATAATTTATTTATATATTATATATTTTATAATATATATTCATATATTATATATTTTATAATATATATTCATATATTATATATTTTATAATATATATTCATATATTATATATAATACTACATAGTCTTTTGTGTCTTGTTGCTCTTAGCATAGTATTTTCAAAGTTCGTTCATGTTGCAGCATGCAGCAGTGCTTCATTGCTTTTTATATTTGAATATTGCATTGTACGCATGGACCACTTTGTTTATTCATTCGTCTGTTGATGGACATTTGGATTATTTTCCCTTTTCGGTTATTGTGAATACAGCTGTTATGGTAATTATCACACAGTAATTCCATTTAGCTTTTTGAGGAACTAGGCCTTCCAATTCCAAAATCACAATAGTTTAGCAATAATTTAGTCTGATTTGTTGTTTTTGTTTACATATGACCATGACTTAGAAAAACTTTCAGCAATTAAAAGAAGTATAGACAACAATTTCTAATACACATTTCCCAGCTTCTATAATAGCTCAAGTCACAGTCTGAGTGATGAGCCATTGACACTTCTCTGACTTCCTTCAGAAAAGTAATACAGAAAGTCTTACTTCCAAAGCTAGGTAAAAAATAACCTCCTGAATTAAATCTGCCTCTCAGTGAAGGCTGGTCAGGTAACAAAGGCAATGATACTGAAGAAGTTGCTCAAATTTGGATAAATAGCACAGGAAATCTGAGTGTAACACCACTGTAGAATCCCATACACATAACAAGGCAGTTAGCTTTTATACAAATCCAAGAATTTAAAAAAGTTTTTAGCAAAAATGCAACTACGCTTATTACCTAATAAGTATTCTCTCTCCCGTGTGCATTTCACATACTAATGGCCGTTTTGTGGTGTTGGAGTGGGTTTTCCCAGAGTTTTCTAAAATCCTTTCTAGGGACATTCCCTGCCCCACTCTGCAGGTTTTCCAGGATGCAAAGCCAGCTCACTCACTTTTCTCAAAGTGAGGTGCCAGGCCACTGAGCATGGGGTCCTTCTGCAGCTCTCAGGGCATAGGCTCTGGCTTCTTCAAATACCAGGGACAGCTGCCCTTGGGTCAACAACATCTGAGGCTGGCTTGCATGATTTGCTCCCCAAGTCTCCTCACTCCATTGTTTCCATTTTCATGGGGGTTCAAGGCTGGGATCTGGTGGCTGATACCTTGAAAGAGCTCTTCAATATTAATAGCATTTTTTGCCCTTGCCTCAACCAGTGATGGCACCTGTGGATTCAGCATATTCCTCAGCAACCTTCCGGGGAACCTCCCTAATATCTGAGAGATGGCACTTGTTTCCACAAGAACAATTAGGATGTTTTCTGGACCATGTTCTTTCAGTTCTTCATCCCACTTCTTCAAGGTATGAAATGAATCTTGTTATCAGCTGCTGCCGATCCTCCATAGCACATGAGCCAATGAATGAAACTGTTCCTGGCCAGCAGTGTCCCACATGAGGAACTTCTGAAGGTAATTTCCACTAGGTGTCGTTTTGGTCATGAAAGATGCCTCAGGCCAGGCGCAGTGGTTCACGCCTGTAATCCCAGCACTTTGGGAGGCAGAGGCGGGCTGATCACGAGGTCAAGAGATTGAGACCATCCTGGCCAACACAGCGAAACCCTGTCTCTACTAAAAAAATACGAAAATTAGCTGGATGTGGTGGCTCACAGCTGCAGTCCCAGCTACTTGGGAGGCTGAGGCAGGAGAATCACTTGAACCAGGGAGCCGGAGGTTGCAGTGAGCTGAGATCGTGCCATTGCACTCCAGCCTGGTGACAGAATGAGACTCTGTCTCAAAACAAAAAAAAAAGAAAAGCCTCAATGGTAGGGCTGATATTGTGATAAAAGTGATCCTGAGCAAATCGACACAAAATGCTTGATTTCCCAACACCGGTGTCCCCAAGAAGGCACACTTTGTGCTCCCCTATTGCCATCATGTGCTGGTGGTCAGGCCTGCAGGGGCTCAGCAACGTCCTTCTGGCCCCACTGGCATCTCCTGCCTGGGCCCCTCGCTGGTGCCAGCCAACTTTCCATCCTAAAAGCTCTTTTCTACTGCAGTTGTTTTTCCCAACCACTGCATATTTATACCAGGGGACTCTGATAGGGGCTGGTTGAAGGGGCCGATCCCTCTGCCCCAGGTAATGAGATGCAATGATTGGTTAGGTCTGCATCAGATGCTTATCCACCAAAAGGAGAGGTCCTGGGCAGTCCCAGACAATGACTATTATAATTCACTACAGCCCCAATTGCGAGATCGTGGGAACTTTCCTCTTTCATGGTTCCATATGGAGGACATTTGGTTGGTGTCAGGAGACTAAAAGGGGAGTAGGGTTTTCTGTGTTTCTCCTTGTTAATTTAGGACTGGGATTTCTTTGGGGGTTGAAAGTCAGCCTAGGTTCTAGGTAGAGATAGCTGATCCAGTGTATGCATCACCTGGCCTGTCAGTGAAGCTTTGAGAGTAAACAAAATGTAAGAAGATTAAAAGAATATGTTAAAAAAAAAAAACTAGAAAAAAGCAAGAGAAAGAAAATAAAAATGTGAAATTTGGAAGTTGAAAAGCACATGGACAAGTGGGAAATGAACTGGTTTTCCCTACTACTGGCTTAGGACTCAGTTTTCTCTGTCTGCTGGGAAATGCCTACTTTACACTGAAGAACCCCTAAATGGCACAGGAATTGGCACTTTCAGGAACTTCTGGAAGTAGTGGTACAGGTGAGATTTGAAAAAGCAGAAAATCAGTTGGGTGTGGTGGCTCAGACCTGTGTAATTCCAACACTTTGGGAAGCCAAGTTGGGTGGATCACCCAAGGTCAGGAGTTCGAGACCAGTCTGGCCAAGATGATGAAACCCCGTCTCTACTAAAAATGCAAAAAATTAGCCGGGTGTGTGACAGACGCCTATAATCCCAGCTATTCAGGAGGCTGAGGCAGAAGAATCCGTTGAATCCGGGAGGCGGAGGTTGCAGTGAGCTGAGATAGCACCATTGCACTCAAGCCTGGGCAACAAAGACGCAAAATCCGCCAAAAAAAAAAAAAAAAAAAGAAAAGAAAAAAGAAGAAAAAGAAAAAAAAAAAAAAAAACTCTCTGGCTTGGCAGACACCATGGATAGTGGGCCACAAGAGTGGCTTCTAGTTTTCTTCTCTCTCTCCCTTTTCTTTCTTTTTTCAGTTTCTCTCTCTCTCTCTCTCTCTCTCTCTCTCTCTCTCTCTCTCTTTGAGACAGGGTCTCGCTCTGTCGCCTAGGCTGGAGTGCAGTGGTGCGACCGTCCTCCTCCCGGGTTGCCTCCTGAGTAGCAGGGACCGCAGGTGCCCTCCACCACATCCGGCTAATTTTTGTAGAGATGGGGTTTTTGCAGTGTTAGCCAGGCTGGTCTCAAACTCCTGAGCTCAGGCGATCCACCCACCTTGGTCTCCCGCAGTGCTGGGAGTACAGGCGTGAGCCACCGTGCCCGGCCCCTAGTTTTCTTCTCATGCCCAGCTTTCAGGATGCCGACTGCCAGGGCTGTACTCTGTGGGCAGAGGGTTATAGAAAACTTTTTTAGTCTCCCTTCGTGGTCGGTTTCCCCAAAGATACTGTCCAAATACTGGATGTTCTTTAAGGGAATGCCCCGTGATTGCCCACCTGTAAAGCTCACAGTTGCCAAGCATCAGGTGATTGAGCCTCCAATCAGTGTATTAGTGGCTTGCCCTTTTAAATAGAGCAGATGGCGCAGGATCCCCAGACGGCTGAGAAAAGCCTCTAATATGACTGAGATGAATGCAACCCCTGTCTCCTCCGACCGTCTTTCCTCCAGCAGCACGGACCCGGGGTCAGTCTCCGCTGATGCGGCCAGGCCTGGCTGCAGCGGCGGTGGCTGAGTAGGGGTGGAACCGGCAGCTGGGCCCTATGCAGATGGCGGGACGCTGGGGCCGGCCGGCCCCGCTCTGAGCACAGGCCAGGGGCGCGGGCGCCGGAAGCCCTGCTGGGAGGGCCGGCTGGCTGCGCAGCGGGTGGCGAGCTGCCCACTCTGAGGTCCTGGGGTCTGAGCTCAGCAGCCCTTGCTCGCGCCGGAGCTGCAGCCGCGATTTGCACGGAGCTCCGCCAGCCAGAGAGTGTCCTCGTGGGTGTTTCTCCGGGCGAGGCTTTCAGCATCCCAAGGTTCTCTAGCTGCTCTAGCCTCAGCCCTGTGTTCCCACGTGGGAACGCAGTCTTCACACGAGTGGCGCTAGAATAGCTGGAACTTCAGGATGCCTTCCTCTCTCAGGGAATGTCCTGAAAACTCTGCCAACTCCCTCTGACGTGGGACGGGAACGCAGAGCTGGTGACAAGCTGTCATCGATGTTTCTGACACGTGGGCCTGGCACACACACGCTGAGAACCATTGGCCCCGCCCCCGTCAGTTGTGCGCACGCGCAGTGACGGAGCGGTCAGAGGTGCGCATGCGCTGCTGGGCTTACCGGCTTTACCTGGCGCGCCTTGGCTGCTTGGCTTCGCTGGTTACTGGCTCAGACTTTGGATACAGCGGAGTTTCCTGGTTGGAGGTGGTGGCTGACCGAAGTGGCTGGGTCTTATTGGGCCCCTGAGACTGTGATGGGTGGAATGGTGCTGTGGTGTCTCTAATAACCTCCGCCATGAAAAGGATCTCTGGCTCCCCGGATCAGAAGGGCCAGGGGCCTGGTGGCTTCTTCACCCGCTGGTGGAGGAGCAGCAGGGGTGATGTCGCCGAGCCCGATGACAGCCCCTTCGCCCAGCGTGGGTACGACATCCGAGGGAGACATCTCGGCAAGCTCCACAGAGCGGTTAGCAGGGGTGACGTCTTCAGGGTGCAGCTCGTCCTTACGCCCGGGAACGTTGACTTGGATGAGAGAGACAAGATGAAGAGGTGACAGGAGCTGGACTGGGGGCAGGCGCTGGGTTGAGGCGGGGTGTGGGAGAAGCGCCTCCTTCCGGGGGGAGGGGGTGCGGCGTGGGGGAGCGAGCCCTCCTGTCCCCGGGGCCCTTGCTTTTCTGCCTCGGCAGGCTCCACAGCACCTGGCACAGGGAAACCCTGGAGAGGTAAATTAAGTCTATATAGCACTTTATCTTGAATGGACACATTTCAAAACATATATTATATATATTTATTTATTTTACTTGAGGTGTATACTACATCGAGTATTTCTCCCCATGTTATCCCTCCCCACCCTCCCTACCCTCCCCACCTTCCCCTGTCCCTCCCCTAACCCCCCCAACTGCCCCCAGTGTGTGATGCTTTTCTCCCTGGGTCTAGGTGTTCTCATTGTTCAACACCCACCTATGAGGCAGAACATGTGGTGTTTGGTTTTCTGTTCTTTTGTCAGTTTGCTGAGAATGATGGCTTCCAGATTCATCCAAGTCCCTACAAAGGACACAAACTCATTGTTTTTTATGGCTGGGTAGTATTCCATGGTGCATATGTACCACATTGTCTTTGTCCAGTCTATCATTGATGGGCATTTGGGTTGGTTCCAGGTCTTTGCTACTGTACACAGGGCAGCAATGAACATACATGTGCATGTGTCTTTATAGTAGAACGATTTATCGTTCTTTGGGTATATACCCAGTAGTGGGATTGCTGGGTCAAATGGAATTTCTATTTCTACCTCCTTGAGGAATAGCCACACGGTCTTCCACAATGGTTGAACTAATTTACACTCCCACCAACAGTGTAAAATGTTCCTATTTCTCCTCATCCTCTCCAGCATCTGTTGTCTCCAGATTTTTAATGATTGCCATTCTAACTGGCATGGGATGGTATCTTAATGTGGTTTTGATTTGCATTTCTCTAATGACCAGTGATGATGAGCGTTTTTCATATGTTTCTTGGCCTCATATATGTCTTCTTTTGAAAAATGTCTATTCATATCTTTTGCCTACTTTTGAATGGGTTTGTTTTTTTCTTGTAAATCTGTTTCAGTTCTTTGGAGATTATGGATATAAGTCCTTTGTCAGATATTGAAAAATTTTTTCCCATTCTGTTGGTTGCTGATTCACTCTAATGATTGCTTCTTTTGCTGTGCAGAAGCTCTGGAGTTTAATTGGATCCCATGTATCTATTTTGGCTTTTGTTGCCAAGGCTTTTGGTGTTTTAGTCGTTAAGTCCTTGCCTATGCCTATGTCCTGAATGGTTTTGCCTAGGTTTTCTTCTAGGGCTTTTATTGTGTTAGGTCTTATGTTTAAGTCTTTAATCCATCCGGTGTTAATTTTAGTGTAAGGTGTCAAGAAGGGGTGCAATTTCTGCTTTCTGCACATGACTAGCCAGTTTTCCCAACACCATTTATTAAACATGGAGTCCTTTCCCCATTGCTTGTTTTTGTCATGTTTGTCAAAGATCATATGGTTGTAGATGTGTAGTGTTGCCTCCAAGGCCTCCGTTCTGCTCCATTGGTCTATGTCTCTGTTTTAGTACCAGTACCATGCTGTTTTGATTACTGTAGCCTTGTACTATAGTGTGAAGTCAGGTAGCATGATGCCTCCAGCTTTGTTCTTTTTGCTTAGATTTGACTTGGCTATGTGGGCTCTCTTTTGGTTCCATATGAAGTTTAAAGTGTTTTTTCGAGTTCTGTGAAGAGGGTCATAGGTAGCTTGCTGGGGATAGCATTAATCTATAGATTACTTTGGGCAGTATGGCCATTTTTATGATATTAATTCTTCCTAACCATGAGCATGGAATGTTTTTCCGTCTGTTTCTGTCCTCTCTTCATTGAGCAGTGGTTTGTAGTTCTCCTTGAAGAGGTCCTTTACATCCTTTGTTAGTTGTATTTCTAGGTATTTTATTCTCTTTGTAGCAATTGTGAATGGGAGTTCACTCTTGATTTGGCTCTCTGTTTGTCTGATATTGGTATATAGGAATGCTGTGATTTCTGCCCATTGATTTTGTATCCTGAGACTTTACTGAAGTTGCTTTATCAGTTTAAGAAGATTTTGGGCTAAGACGATGGGGTCGTCTAGCTATAAAATCATGTCGTCTGCAAATAGACAGTTTGACTTCCTCCTTTCCTATTTGAATACACTTTATTTGTTTTTCTTGCCTGATTGCTCTGGCTAGAACTTCCAGTTCTATATTGAATAGGAGAGGTGAGAGAGGGCATCCTTGTCTAGTGCCTGATTTTAAAGGGAATTCTTCCAGCTTTTGCCCATTCAGTATGATATTGGCTGTAGGCTTATCATAAATGGCTTTTTATAATTTTATGATACATTCCCTTGATATCTAGTTTATTGAGAGTTTTTAGTGCTGTTGAATTTTGTCAAAGGCCTTCTCTGCATCTATTGAGATAATCATGTGGTTTTTGTCTTTTGTTCCGTTTATGTGATGGATTACATTTATGGATTTGCGTATGTTGAACCAGCCTTGCATCCCCAGGATGAAGCCTACTTGATCGTGATGGATAAGCTTTTTGATGTGCTGTTACAATCGGTTTGCCAGTATTTTATTGATGATTTTTGCGTTGATTTTCATCATGGATATTTTCCTGAAGTTTTCTTTTTTAGTTGAGTGTCTGCCTAGTTTTGGTATCAGTGTTGGTCTCATAAAATGAGTTAGGGAGGATTCCCTCCTTTTGTATTGTTTGATATAGTTTTAGAAGGGATTTACAGTTTTACAGCTCCTCTTTGTACATCTGGTAGAATTCGGCTGTCAACCTGTCTGGACCTGGACATTTTTGGTTGGCAGGCTATTGATTGCTGCCTCTACTTCAGCCCTTGTTATTGGTCTGTTCAGGGTTTCAACTTCCTCCTGGTTTAGTCTTGGTAGAGTACAAGTGTCCAGGAATTTAACCATTTCTTCCTGGTGTACTGGTTTATGTGCATAAAGTTGTTTGTAGTAATCTCTGATGGTAGTTTGTATTTCTGTTGGATCAGTGGTGATGTCCCCTTTACCTTTTTTTATTGCATCTATTTGAGTCTTCTCTCTTTTCTTTTTTATTAATCTGGCTAGTGGTCTGTCTATTTTGTTGATCTTTTCAAAAAACAACCTCCTGGATTTATTGATTTTTTTGAAGGGTTTTTTGTGTCTCTATCTCCTTCAATTCGATCTTAGTTATTTCTTGTCTTCTGCTAGCTTTTGAGTTTTTTGATCTTCCTCTCCTCTAGCTCTTTCAATTTTGATGATAGGGTATCAGTTTTAGATCTTTCCTTGTTTCTCATTTGGGCATTTATTGCTATAAATTTTCCTCTTGACATTGCTTTAAAGGTGTCCCACAACTGGTAAGTTGTGTCTTCATTCTGATTGATTTTGAAGAACATATTTATTTCTGCCTTCATTTTATTGTTTATCCACTTGACATTCAGAAGCAAGTTGTTCAGTTTCCAAGTGTTGGTGTGGGTTTGAGTGTGTTTCTTAATCCCGAGTTCTAGTCTGATTGTGCTGTGGTCTGACAGACTGTTGTTATGATTTCCATTCTTCTCCATTTGCTGAGGAGTGATTTGCTTCCAATGATGTGGTCAATTTTAGAGGAAGTGCAATGTGCTGAGAAAAATGTGTATTCTGTGGATTTGGGGTGGAACATTCTGTATATGTCTATTAGGTCTACTTGGTCCAGCTCTGCATTCAAGTCTTGGATGTCCTTGTTAATTTTCTGTCTCATTGATCTAATATTGACAATGGAGTAGTGTTAAAGTCTCCAACTATTATTGTGTGGGAGTCTAAATCTTGTTTTAGACCTAAAACAAGATAAGAACTTCCTTTATGTATCTGGGTGCTCCTGTGTTGGGTGCATATATATTTAGGATAGTTAGCTTTTCTTGTTGGATTGATCCTTTTACCATTATGTAGTGTCCTTCCTTGTCTCTTTTGACCTTCGTTGGTTTGAAGTCCATTTTATCAGAGATTAAGATTGCAACTCCTGCTTTTTTTTGCTCTCCATTTGCTTGGTAAATCTTTTTCCATCTCTTTATTTTTAGTCTATGTGTGTCTTTGTATGTGAGATGGGTTTCCTGAATACAGCACATCGATGGGTCTTCAATTTTTGTCCAGTTTGCCAGTCTGTGTTTTTTGATTGGGGCGTTTAGGCGGTTTACATTCAATGTTACTATTGTTATATGTGAATTTGATCCTGCCATTTCAAATTCCTGCTGGTTTTCTTTTCTGTTAGTTGACTCATTCTCTTCACTGCATTTTTGGTCTTTGCCGACTGGTTTGCTTTTGCAGTGGCTGGTACTTGCTCCTTTCCATGCTTAGTGTTTCTTTCAGGAGCTCTTATAGGGCAGGTCTGGCTGGTGTCAAAATCTCTCAGTAATTGCTTATCCATAAAGGATTTTATTTCTCCTTCATTTATGAAGCTTAGTTTGGCTGGATAAGAAATTCTTGGTTGAAAGTTCTTTTCTTTAAGGATGTTGAATATTGGCCCCCAGTCTCTTCTGGCTGTGAGTCTGATTGGCTTCCCTTTGTGGGTAACCCAACCTTTCTCTCTGGCTGCCCTTAGCATTTTTTCCTTCATTTCAACCCTGGTGAATCTGACGATTATGTGCCTTGGAGTTGCTCTTCTTGAGGAATATCTTTGTGAAGTTCTCTGTATTTCTTGAATTTTAATGTTGGACTGCCTTGCTAGGCTTGGGAAGTTCTCCTGGATAATATTCTGGGGGGTGTTTTCCAGCTTGGACTCATTCTCCCCATCATATTCAGGTACACCAATCAAGTGTAGATTAGGTCTTTTCACATAATCCCATATTTCTTGGAAGCTCTGTTCATTTCTTTTCACTCTTTTTTCTGTTGTCTTGCCTTCTCCTTTTATTTCATTGAGTTGATCTTCAATCTCTGATATCCTTTCTTCTGCTTGATTGATTCAGCTATTAAAACTTGTGTTTGCTTCACGTACTTCTTGTGCTGTGTTTTTCAACTCCATCAAGTCATTTATGTTCTTCTCC